ACCTTGATGAAGCTCTATGTCTTCATCTAAACTTGGATGTATACTTCATCCCTGATGAAGTCATCCTCATAGTATTCGAGTGGTCTTATGTAAAAAACAAAACAAAAAAGTATTCGAGTGGTCTTTATATAAAGATCACATGTGTCTTTATATAAAGACACACGTATCTTTATATAAAATCACTTGAATACTAATGAAGAGGACTTTATCGGGTATGAAGGTTCATGCACGTGACGTGTATGGTGGCTCCAATTGGACTATAAGCTTATGAATTATTAATGAGTGTTTTAAAGCTATTTAAAGTTTCCGTTTTCAATATGTGAAGAGTATCCAGAGCTAGGACTTGGGACGGCTACTAGTACAAATTTCCATCTTTGCTCCAGAGATTACACTTATGAGGGGGATTCATCGGACTGTACTTCTTACATTTGAACGCGTTGGCGAATTCACAAGAGTTGCATAATGTACCAATCACCCCGTGGCCGGAATAAAACATAAAATCAGTTTTACACGATATAGATAAATTTACGCAGATATCAATATAATAATAGTTTGATATAAACTCATGAATGTAAACTCAATAAATGTACTAGCTGGGAAAAAATATGGCCAATGTATTAAGAAGATGTGACTAGCTAAAAACTAGTGTGAGCTGCGTCGGTGTTTCTAATGAAACAGTAATGATAAAAAGGTAAATTATACACCGTGGAAAAGATGAAAAAACCTACTGACGTTTAGGACGCTAGTCCTTCGTCGGAGTAAAAGAGCCAATGTATTAATGAGTTTATTTATGATATAAGACATAAGTGAACTGGTTTTAATTTGTTGACGTAATTTGTTGGTTTGTCCTCTTATTTACCAAGGCTCTCGACCAATCAGAAAGCGAGAAAATTTACACGGAAGCTTCTCCTCGACTTAATAAGCGGGTAATTAATTTCTTAATGAATGAAATGGGGAGGGGCTACTGTCATTTCAAGAAAGTTTGTTGCGAATCTCCAGGCCTCCCCTCAATAAAAAAATGTACCTTCTCTAAACACATTAGGAGCTAGTGTAGAGCACAAGAGAAGCAAGCTTAGGGCGTAGAGTGTTGCTTTTCGAGATCTCTACAGATTCCAGAGTGTTTATATCACAGTACAAAGACGTAAGCAGCCGTTTCAAACAATTTTGCACCAGCGTGTCTCAGGCCTCTGATATAAACACGGTAGCCAACCAATCAGCGCGCGCGTTATATTTAATCTAACCATACCCAAATTTGTCATCATAGGATCCAGCAGTTGCCAACCAGTAGCAACGAGTGAAAGACTTTGGACTAATCCAGATTGACAACATTAAAAAAGTTTTTCTTGAAGATTTACAAAGGAAGGTTTTGTATATACTAAAAACCTATTCATATAAAATCTTTGTATTCTATTGAAAATTATGGGAATGAAGACCTTGCTATGGAAAGGAAATGGAAGCCAATGTTACGTCTTCTTCCATAAGCTCTAATGTAACATCGATAAATATTATATGATTTTCAATGGCTTTTGTTTCTTTGTTTTGTATTATGTCAGTCATGATGCTGTGTTTGCTGGGGAGATTTCAAATATTGTAATATTTTCAAGCGCAAAGTGGACTGAATTCGTATGACGTGATCGTCAGCGGGAAGGTACAATATGGACCCCCATAAAAATGAAAAAAAAAAAAAAAA